CTTGGGACTCCCGTTAAATATCAAATCTCATTCAACGTTACCAAATATTGCTCAGCACATAGATTTACAAAAAGAAAAGAGGGGAGGGAAAAAAAAATCATCTAAGACATAGCTAGCTCACTAATTGCATTTCTATAGGAAAGTGTGCCTGGCATCAGAGCCTCAAGTCATCCTCTGAGCAGATCTAAATGAAAAACTGTCTCCATCGCAAGTAAATAAAGCTCTTAACACAGTCTCCAGCTACAATGCTATGTCTCCCATGGATTTTAACAGTGACCTTCCTGTGAGCATCAAGGACTTGCACTTTTTAGATAAGGAAATTTGTTCTTGTTTTAAGCCTGTGTCAGGTTCATTCTCCGGTAGCTTACAGTTTTCAAAAGCAGAGGAAAAAGTAATCCAGAATTTTTTTTTTTTTTCAAAAAGTCTGTTTCCAGAATGAAGTTCCCTGTCAGCCTGCCTTGGGCCTTAGGTGAAGAAGCAGAGATTAAAGAGTCAGTATTCTTTTTCATGTTTCATCTGCCAGTTTTGTGAATGTAGAAAGAAAACCAGTGGCCACAGCTAAGCACCCAACTGTGGTATTAAGTAGAAAACATGATTTTAGCACACACTCTCTTACTTAAACACACATTCTCTCTCTCTCTCTCTCTCTCTCTCTCTCTCTCTCTCTCTCTCTCTCTCTCTCTCTCTCTCTCTCTCTCTCTCTCTCTCTCTCTCTCTCTCTCTCTCTCTCTCTCCACTTCAATGCATTTGAAAACCATCTTTGAGTCCCTAGCAAAGGGCACCCGGTTCTCTGCTCCACAGCCATTGATGAAGGTAGCTCAGTGAGGGGGTACGGGTCCAGCAGATGCGTGCACCCTCCTGCCGCCATGATGATAATGAAGCTCTTTGTTCAGCTGTGTGGATGTGAAGTGTGGCTTCTCCCGATGAGCTCACCATTTCCTAGTTATTCCAGACTTACCTGAATGCACCAAGTATTGCAGCCTTTTAATGCATATGCAGACCGTTAAATGTCCTTTTGTGAGGCGCTCTGCTAAATGACCACTTCATTCCACTGCCTCCTCCTTCCTGAGACACAACTAACTCCCTGTTTAGACTCTGCCTTTGGTTTTGTAGAGCAGCACCAAAGGAAGAGGCCACATTCTCTCTCTCTCTCTCTTTTTTTTTCCTTCATATTTCTGAAGGCGAATTCGTACGGATTTGTTTGTATTTACTAACAGAATGATATCCCTGCCACAGAAGCTGGCTTCCTTTGTGTCCTTTCAGTCAAAGTCTCTGTCTGGGGAGGAAGTTTTCCCAAAGAAAAACTTAAGTCCTTCTGTTGGGAACTGTGTGCAGGGGGGACACAGATGTGCCCCCCATCAACAAAGTTGGTGGGATTTGGAGGAAAGTGACTGTTAGTTCCAAACAGAACATTATTGTACGCTGGCCTATAGTCTTGAGTCAAGAGAGCAAGCGTCATTTTAAAAGGACATTCAACAAAGAGTGTCATCCCGTCTTTCATTGGAGGGGAGGTATTTGCTATCAAGGGTCACATGTTTTCAAATGTAAGCATCTCACAGTTGGCTTTCGGGTATGCTATCTGCCACTCCCTTCCCAGGTAGGCACAGAGGGTGGTGTTTTTGACTAAGAGTCAAACAGACCCTCAATGGTGGTTCCTCCATTGCTAGATGGGCAGGCCTCAACCAGGAGGACCCAATCTGTCCCCACTGTGTTCATCACCCAAGTGCAAGCTCAGCTCTGTCTTAAGACACAGCTTGTAACTCTCAGGTGCCTTCAGTGTGGAAGGAAGGTGGGTGGTGGGGAGTGGTCCCATAAAACCTTAGCCTCCAGAGACTACTGGAGCTACCCCAGATCAGGAAGAGAAGTGTGCCTGGACCATTCTGAGAACACCTGGGGGAACCCGCTTCTCCTCCCTGTAGCTTCATGGATACTTCGTAAAACTCTAAGAAAAGGTCATTGACATTCTCTGAGATTTTAAAACACAAACTAATACCTCAGCCATATCCCCTCAAAAGACCTAACTCGAAAGATGTTTTGATGGGCTCAGTCAATTCAGTTGAGGGATGGATGCACAAGGTAATCAACCCAAGAATCTCGGCAGCAGAATGTAAACTTTAGAACAAGCCACAAGGATGGATGCCAGGCCACATGCCGGCAGTACTCAGCCCACATCTCACAGAGAGTAAAAAAAAAAAAAGCAATCGACATGTATGTCCTCTTCATCTACTCCCTTCTTGTAACTCAAATGCTTGGCTGCGAGCATACCCCAGGGCTCATTGGCTTGATGAGAAGTCTTTTCAAGGACAGCTAATTCTTTATTTATTTATTTATTTATTTATTTATTTATTTATTTATTTATTTATTTATGAGACAGGGTTTCTCTGTGTAGCCCTGGCTGTCCTGGAACTCATTCTGTGGCCTAGGCTGGCCTCGAACTCGCAGAGATCCGCCTGCCTCTGCCTCCTGAGTGCTGGGATTAAAGGCGTGCGCCACCACCGCAGCCGCCACCACCACCGCCGCCACCACCTGGGGGGTTGGCTATTTTTAAGGACTGCCATGTCAACCCACTTATGTTGTACTTATTTCTGGTTTTCTCCACAAAAGGGACTTTGTGAAGAGGACTGAACTAAATAGTCCTTTATTTTCAAACCTACAACTCAAAAATAAGAATGGCAGTTACTAGATAACAGAGAATCAAGAGGGGCTTTTTTTTTTTTTGTATTTTTCAAGTTCTCTAATTTATTACACACTAAAAATCTCTTTCAAACTGGCACCAACGTGGCGTTTCTTCTTGAGCTGATTAGGACCACATGAGCTCAGGAAAAGCTGTCAGAGTCCGCCTGTGGCACAGCTGGAATGATCCAACTGATTTGCCAGTATGGTTTTTTTTTTTTTCCTCAAGAAATAAGCTTCATCCCAAAGTTATAAATTTATATTCTGGGAGAAGATGTGAGCAAAAAGTACTTCCTGATTCAGTACAAAGAAGATATCGTGGTGACTTCTCTTACGTGGACTTGAAAACAAAGGCAGCCTGGGTGACATTTTGGTCAACATTTCGTTCTCTCGCGGGAGCGAACATCCTGTCTTCTCTGTGAATTCCAATGACACATGGAGGTCTCATTCAGAAAACACCAACCTACAAGTCATGATTGAAGACCATGTGAAGATGCCGGCCCTTGAAAATTCTGTTGAAGTCTAGGGAACAGTTGTGACCCAGAGAATGCCTGTCTTCAGTTGTGCACCAGAGGCTGTGAGACCCACCCCTCAGTATCCTCCACAGTGACCCAAGCACAGTCACAGCGCTCCCTGACTCCAAAAGGAGGAAACCAAACCGTGCTTCAGTCCCTCCCTGGCCACCTCCACCTGTCTGCCTCCTTTTCATTCGGGGCTTCATTCTCGGTGAGGCATTCCGGAGCCTGCTTTAATGAAGGACTAAGTTAATAGTTAATGTATTCATGGACCCTAATGAATTGGTGCTTTATCTTCTCACCAAATGCCCTTAAGCAGACCAAGCCACCGTACCTCATCCTACAAAGATGCCATTGCATCAGCTCTTTGTATCCGAGATGTTGTTTAGTCCCTTGTCTGCGAACTGTCTGGGAGGCTGGTGTCTGAAGGAAGAAAAGGATAGATCTTTCTGTGGATCCTTTACATTTTAACTCGACCTTCCAATTCATTTCTTCACCTACCCCTTTCAGTCCTCTGTATTCTGGACTGGGGGTTTTCTGTGGTTCATTTGTTGCCTGTTCTGGGTTCCATTCTGGTCCAGAGTCCCTAACTCAAGCTGTGCCAGCCTAGACTGCTAATTCAACAATGTTTTCATGTGATTCTTCAAAAAGATGTCTTTAGTCTTTTTGTCTTTGTTAAAAAAATACTAACACCATTAGGAAGTACCCTTTATTCTGGTACAAGGCATATAGAATTATATCACCAACCAGACTGGAGTGCTGTGATTTCCTCTGTGAAGAATTGCATAAGCCACTGTCCTCAATTCATAGTTAACCAGGCTGAGAGGATCTGAATAAAGGCACATCGCGTTGCATGCCACGGTGGGGCCGGCCGTGTGGCCCGCATGGCACGTCACTGCCTTCTGCCTCTGCCAGGAGTTTTGTAGCCTGGGAAGCCATGCATGCAGGAGGGCAGGATTCACAGGCCCCCACAAAAGCAGCACAGGATGCTACCTGTTAGAGGCTTGCCACCAAGGGAAGGGGACAGTCCCCGGCCTCCCAGGGCCCCGCACTGTGTGGCAGCTTCAGAAAAAAACTGGCTACCATGTGAAACATTCATGGAGGTGTTTTCAAGTAACAGTGAAGGCATAATTATTAAATTCTACAGCCATCCATTTAGCATATTGTGAGAAAAAAAAGAGAGAGAGAGAAGAGTGGGAAAAGGCATGGAGGCCTGTCTGCTTGTAGACACAGTCCGTGGAGGTTTGATTTGTGGTCACTTTCAGAGGCAGGAAGAGTTTCGTCAGCCCGAAACCTTGTTCTTTTCCAAAGTGACTCCCTCTCCCCATCCACACCCCCCCAAAAAAAATCAAAATGTACTTCATGAAACTATTGTATATGAAGCACTTATTAGCCGTAATTAAATGGACAATATGAATTTACTACGTCTTTAGGACTCTGGCTTGTTCTGGTTTAGAGCAAGATGATTAATGCAAATACATATTACTTGAGATAACCATTTAGCAGCTAATTTAGCCAAATTTATTACAGCAGTTAGAGGTTTTTCATTTTAGCAGACGGAGACAAGGACATGCCAAAAATGGGTCATGTAGACGAGTGCGCACTGCCCTCTAGTGGCCGGCAGGCTGGTGAGCTTTGGGGGGGGGCGGTGAGCAGCGGTCTCCAAGTCCTAACATCAGAGGCTTTCCTGCGATCCTCTCGATCCATTCCCATCCACAGCACTTTATTTAGGGGATGATTTACTGCAGTTTCCCCTTTTACTGGCTCAGGAGAACCCAGATACAAATCAAATCTCTTTCAACTTGGCAAGACTCTGGTTCAGGTATCGTTTTTTAACATCTGCATTTTTAAAGCTCTCTTACAGTGGGTATTTAAAGGCGCCGGTTCACGTTGCTGAATGTCTTCACTTGTTCCTTCGTTTCGCGCCCTATTTCGGTGTCTGTGTAGAGTCGTCACTCTGTTGGGCTCAAGTCAAGTCAGTGCCGCGCCTCTCCAGCCCGAGTTTCTCTCCGACTCGACTGGGGGATTTATTTTGTTCCCACCTTCAGCCGTCTCAGCACACTTTGCCCCGGCTGACCAATGTAAATTTAGTTCATCCGAGGACTATAAATTCTGTAAGACAAGATCAAAAGGAACAGATGGCTAAGGACACGGGTTGGTATCGCTCAGGCTGAAAGGAAGTGATCAAAGACAGAGGGGGGGTTAGGCCTCTTCAGAACCATTCAAATATCCAGAATCTCAAAGAGGGCAACTCGAAGCTATTGCATAAATCATACACAGATTTGCCTTTCTTACCATGTGATGTTAAACCCACTGACAGTATCCACACCACATTAGGTGTGCTCCGAGCCAAAAAGATTAGTAGTCCTTTTATTCTTCCCTTCACACCATGGCTGCCCAGAAGGGAATACGGGCTCACCACAAATGCCAGGAACCCTAGCTGGGCAGCTGCTGATCCAGGGAGATGTTGACTTCATTTGTGCTAATGGTATCTTAAGTCGGGCATGCACTGGACTCCCCTACATTCGGTTTGAGGTTGGGCAGAGGCGAAAATCATTAATACACCGCCTTCTGTTTTGTTTTCTTCCCCCTCTACCCCTCCCCCAGTGCTGAACAAGGGTCAGTGTGTGACGAAGTACTATCGCTGGATGCAGAAGAATGGAGGCTACATCTGGATACAATCTAGTGCCACCATAGCAATTAACGCTAAGAACGCGAACGAGAAGAACATCATCTGGGTGAATTATCTTCTTAGGTATCTCTCTGTTTCATTCCTCTCTCGGTTACACACTGCACACACTGTGGTTAGTTAATAGCTGTCTTTTCCAGGGCTGTGGGTAGTCTGCTCTTCTTTCCCCCCAAATTTCAAAGAAACAGGAGACTATCAAAGCCCTGTTTTTAATCTTGGGTTGCCAGTCTTTGGAGAGGTCTGGAGAAACTGGTCTCCTTTCCTAGTCCATGTCCCACCCAGGAAGGATGGAGACCACCTTTGCCTGCAGCTGCAGTCTAGACAGAAAGCGTCTCCTTATCTCCTCCATGCTTTTGCCTCTGCACCCCAATCTCTGAAAAGGTATGCAAAAGGAGCCAGTGGGGAATAGCAATCCATCCCCTCAGCCTTCTGCATAGGGTTTTGTTCTCAGGGCACTCAAATTTTGGTAAGCAAGATGAACCACTTTGTGAGAACACTATCAATCTCAGTGTAAATAATAATGATAATGATGATGGTAATAATAATAATAATAATAATGATAATAATAAAACAGTCTCTTTTTGCCTGCCACTTTAAGCTCTTAGACAAGTTTTATGCTCTTAAAATTCGTATCCATGGCAGTCCACATTCAACTGCTCCCTAAATGCTACTCTGAGGTACCTTTTCTTCCTCTTTCCCTGTGTCTGTTCTGCTTTGGGATTCCAACAATCTGAATGGTTTGAGTTTGAGGATAAGTCTTCTGGAAGGTTCGCTGCCAGTCTTGTCACAAAGCCATCATGGATTGGGTGTGGCTCCTGCCCACCACCATCATGCTAGCCTTTGGCCTCGGTTGTCCTGAAGGCACCAAGCAGGATCCATGTGTGCTGTGCTCTGAGCAGGAAAACTTCCAGTAGAGCTAATGAATGGAAGTCGGTGCCCTCTGGCTGACAATTTCGACCAAGACTACCTGAGTCCCATTTTTCTTAGAGACAGCCAAATGGAGCTGAGATGTTACCCAGCATGGCTCATCAGCACACTGGCCCTTCAGTGTTTCCCACACTTTGGCCTTTGACTGGAGGCATGAATGTGTTTGCTTCCCACAGCATATCAATCAGACACTAATGATTATTGCTCTGGAGAGGGCCTTAATGGATCCCACTTACAAGAGTTTTCATTCCTCTACTTCTCTTTTTTCTTTTTTGACCTCTTCTGCTCTGTATTAACTCTCTCTAAAGGTAAAAGTGTGTGTATTTAATGTGGCTTTAACTCCAAGGCTTGATAATCAGGAGGACCGTCCCCTGTAGTTGAGATATTATCATGGGGTTCTGACATCAAGGGACCCTTGTAAGTCATTCCCTGAAACAGTCACTATTTCTACTACAGAAAGCCGTGAACGTTCCTGTAACAGACAGGAAATAGAACAAGATAACATCGCACACAGATGCTTTTTGCTACGCAAAACTGGTAATGTCGCTAGGAAGAAGTGAACACTGGTGAACATTCCTAGAGCTTAGACGGTGTCTGTCTCCCATGTTAATGCACTGAAGGGATCTGAGGTCGTATATATGTTTGTTATCCACATCCTGTGGGATTTATTTACTTGTTTTACTTATTTCCTTGAGAATGTTGGTTAGTGTGTTTATTGGCTACCATTACTTTAGACTAACTCATTAGCCACATGACGTCCCACTCTGCCCGCCGTGGCAGCAGTAGCAAGGAACAGAAGACACTGGATCAGCACCATCAATCTAGCCTAGAGTCGAACAGCACCAGCCCACAAGCACGTGGTAACTCCATCTCATCAAATTCCACACAGGCAGGAAGAAAGCCCTTTGGGCACGAAAGGCCAGCCTTCCGGCTTCAGAGCCTTGGTCTCATGTGTGGTAGGCCTTTTACAGACCCATCCTGAGACCAGTAATAACTGACAGCGAACTGGAAACAGATGATCACTGAGACTACAGGAAGCTGATGCCAGTGGGCTGGGACAAGCCAGCTCACACGCCAGCCACTCGTAGGGGCCATTCTGTAGGCTGCAGAGCTGGTAAAGAAAAGCATTCCTTGGCACAAGAAAAACTCCTATATTGCCTTTTCCTTCCCACCTTCGTAGCCCAAAGGGATTATTCCTTCCCAAGCAATACTCCACAACTAGGCCCCGTCCAGGCTCACCTTCCACCGTTCAGAGCACTGCCCTCTGCCTTCTTCCCATGCTCTGGCAGCACTTACTAGGATTCTAAACTAAGAGTGCTCCGAGACTGCCACGTGCCAAGCCTGCCTTCCTACCATCAGTGTGGACTGATGATCTAGAAAGGGCTGTTGCCGTTAAAGCTAATTCACACTAAGGAGCAAATGCCTGCTAATCCATCTTAGTGAATTAACCCTCCCAGGTACGTTTGCAGTTTGAGAGTAGACTGGAACAGTGACTTCTTAATATGAGCACATGACTCCACGATCATCTGTCGTCACTGCCTCGGCCAGCCCGGTACGAGGCAGAAGAGGCATTTCCCATTTGGAGGCAAGATGCTTTGCTCATGCCTTGAGGTTACAGAAGCCTCTACGGATCATACATTTGGCAGCCTGGGATCGGCTCTTCCAGAAGATGGCTAGCTCAAACCGACCAAGCATTTCATTTCCGGAAGAGGTTCATGTCTAAATTAAAAAACCCCGAAAAAACATTAAGCGCGCCTGTGTACGTGGGTTCAGCTCCATTCTGTTAGGGCCCCTCTCACACGGGGCCTCTCCCACTGCAATCAGAAGCCCAGCTAACAAGCCACAGGTGTACGCCACATGAGCCGCTGAAAGTGTGATTGTAATGGGGGTGCCGACAGTTCAGGAGGCGCGCGTCCCAAGATGCACCTGTGCATCTGACAGATCGTTAGGCACTGAGGGC